ATATTTGGGTGGGAGGGCAGGTGGGATTCATCGTCACCTCAGAGAAAAGACATGCGTTTAAGAGAACATTCTCTAGTGGCAAAGATTTCTGCATCAGGTTTGGGTGCCTGGTATGATTTGTAGTTTGTCAATGTTTATCATTTTCTAGACTATTCATGGTTCAAATGCAGTATGTTCTGTCATTTTCTAAAGGTCATACATGTATATATGGACCAAGATCGCCTGCAAAGCGTGCACAGGTGGACCAGACAGTGAAGCAGTCAAGCCGGAGACGAGTGTTGAAGCAGGTTGGATATTGGGTGGGTGGGCAGGCAGATGCTAGGGCAGGATCCTTCTAGGAACTGCCTCCTAATTCATTTTCTATACCTCTAGGCCACCGGTCAGACCTTTGGTTCAGGTTGCGGGCGCCGTGTTGGAGTCAGTGTGAGCGCAAGGTCAGTGTAGAGTTTCTAGAGTATTCACCAGGGATGATTTTGAGAAGATTTGCATTTTCTAGACACTTTTCTGGTGATACATGTGCAGGAGCATGGCTCGCAACTGTTCCCAGGACAGGGGGCAGCCGGTGCTGAAGAAGACACGCGGCAGAAGACTGTTGAAGAAGGTTGGATATTTGGGTGGGAGGGCAGGTGGGATTCATCGTCAGTCTACACTGTAGCCGTCAGTCAGCTCAGAGAAATGAAGGGGGAGACGCGTTCAAGTTAACATTTTCTAGTCGCAAGGATGTTTGCAATGTTGATTGTTTGTGCATTCTCTAGTGAGTCAAGTCTAGTGATCATTGTCATTCATATTGCTCATGATGGCAGAGTCCTCAACCACCCTCAACCCGCCATTTTGATCGCGTGCTCTTGCTTCTGCAGGTGCGCTCCAGATGACGTCCAGCAATTCTGAGGGTCTGAACGCTGGACCAGGTTTGTGCGCCCGGTGAAGATTTTCTAGACTCTACAGGGTTCAAATGCAGTATGTTCTGTCATTTTCTAAAGGCCATACATGTATATATGGACCAAGATCGCCTGCAAAGCGTGCACAGGTGGACCAGACAGTGAAGCAGTCAAGCCGGAGACGAGTGTTGAAGCAGGTTGAATATTGGGTGGGCGGGCAGGCAGATGCTAGGACAAGATCCTTCTAGGATGCTTAGAAATGTCTATTAGAGTTTTAGTAGTGCGTCAATGTTTCTTATGTTTCTAGACCCTATACAGGGTTCAAATGCAGTATATTCAGTCATTTTCTAGATTCCATACATGTATGGACTAAGATCGCCTGCAACCCGTGCACAGGTGGAGCAGACAGTGAAGCGGTCAAGCCGGAGACGACGGTTGAAGCAGCTGAAGCAGGTTGGATATTTGGGTGGGTTGGGAGGCCGACAGATTCTAGGAGAAGATCCTGCTAGGAACTGCCTCCTAGTTCACTTTCTATACCTCTAGGCCACCAGATCGTAGGGCAGATGACTTCTTTCATCTTCTTTCTAGTTTGTAAAGACTGTGGACAAGACCCTCAAGTGAGCCATCTTGGGAGATATTGGGACGATGATGGATGATGGGTGAAGCATGAGTGTAACGACGGCAAGTTGATTTTGTAGAGCGTTAAACTCACAGATGTTCATGATGTCTAGGCATTTTCTAGGCCCTTACCCTTTGGACCACCACAGCACTGCGTCCAACCGTGCCCAGGCACACCCAAAGAAGAGGAACGGATTTCTGGAGAAGGTTGGCGCCGGTGGTGTTGCAGGGGCTGCAGCGTGTGAGTGTGTTTATTATGTTTCTAGACCCTATACAGGGTTCAAATGCAGTATAATCAGTCATTTTCTAGATTCCATACATGTATGGACTAAGATCGCCTGCAACACGTGCACAGGTGGAGCAGACAGTGAAGCAGTCAAGCCGGAGACGACTGTTGAAGCAGCTGAAGCAGGTTGGATATTTGAGTGGGTGGGGAGGCAGACAGATTCTAGGACAAGATCCTGCTAGGAACTGCCTCCTGATTCATTTTCTATACCTCTAGGCCACCAGACCATAGGGCAGATGACTTCTTTCATCTTCTTTCCTAGTTTTCAAACACTGTGGACAAGACCCTCCAGTGAACCATGTTGGGAGATATTGATGGATGATGGGTGAAGCATGAGTGTAACGACGGCAAATTGATTT